AAGATTCAGCAGGTTAGTGTGCACAGTTTTGTTATTTCCTGTGTCTAAGTTTTTTCTCTAGTATGTTATACTAGATTAGTTCTTTTTAGACTAGAATTTTGTTTTATTTGTCAATTCCTTTTTTGAGTTATAATTTGTCTGTTTTTTTATTAGGCTCTTGAAAAAAATATTTGAGTTTGTTTGGTTTCCAGTATGTTATACTGGATGATTATCATATTATAGTTCAGTTTTGTTTGATTCCTGTATATTTTACAGGATATCTACGCTGTGTAAGCTTGTTGTCCAGTATATTATACTGGATGAATTCTGTTTAGACTAAAAATTTTTTAGTTGTTATTTATTTTTTGAATGATTAATAGTACTTTTTTTTATTGTCCTGTGAATCTTTGCTTTCCAATATTTTATACTGGATGATTATTATATTATGGTTGAGTTTTGTTTGATTCCTGTATATTTTACAGGAATTCTAACGTGTTTAAGCTTGTTGTCCAGTATATTATACTGGAAAACTAGCATTTGTATACTGTTTTGTCTAGTAAATTATACTGGATATGTATAATTTACTTCATTTCATTATGTTTTTTAGTTGTAATAATCTCTCCATTTCTTTTTTGCTTTTTTTGAAGCAGGGAAAATTATATACTAGTAAACGAAAGAGGAATTCTGTGGATTCGTTTCCTAGTTTTAATATTTTGTCTCAGTCAAGTATATCAAATTATCCTGAACCTACTGTTGATCACACCCCTGCTGAACAATCTGTTTCTGCTGATATACAAAAAAAAAATTCTGATAAAAATATTATTTTATATTCAAGTGTGGATGAGGGCTGATATACAAAAAAATGATTCAGATAAAAATATTGTTTTATATTCAAGTGTGGATGAGGGAATTTATGTTTCTCCTCTTAAAGTTGCTAAGTCTGTTTCTCAACTAGATGATAAGAAGGTACAAGGTGAAAATGAAAAAGAAAATTTTGCTTCCTGTAAAGGAAAAGAAGTGGCAGGAGCACAAGTACCGCAGATTGCACAAAGTGCGAATTTAGAAGAAGAATTGCTTGGTAGAGGAAAAAGAAATCGTATGTTATATTGTATTAGTTCTGTTTAGACTAGAATTTTGTTTCATTTGCCAATTCCTTTTTGAGTTGTAATTTGTCTGTTTTTTTTTTAATTATGCTCTTCAAAAAAATACTTGAGTTTTGTTTGATTTCAGTATCTTTTAATGGAAGTGTGTTGTATTTAAGCTTGATTGTCCAATATGTGTTGAATGTTTATATTATAAGAGAAATCTATTTTCTCAGGGAAGTGAAACAGATGCTGCAACAGGAGGTACAGATGTTGAAGCCATTTTTCGCGATATTGAAAAAGGAAATATAATTTTGGATTCACCTGAAGTAGAACAAGTTATTCTTATAGTAAATGTGAATGCAGCATCTGGAGCAAAGGAAAGAGAACCTGAGACTGGTCTGGCAAGTCTTTCTGAAATATGCATCCAACAAAGTAAAGATAATGTTGAAAGAAAAAGCACCTCTTGCTGTTCATGAAATTATTGAAAAGATTCAGCAGGTTAGTGTGTACGGTTTTGTTGTTTACTGTGCCTAAGTTTTTTCTCTAGTATGTTATACTGGATTAGTTCTTTTTAGACTAGAATTTTATTTTATCTGTCAATTCCTTTTTTGAGTTATAATTTATCTGTTTTTTTATTAGGCTTTTGAAAAAAATATTTGAGTTTGTTTGCTTTCCAGTATGTTATACTGGATGATTATTATATTATAGTTCAGTTTTGTTTGATTCCTGTATATTTTACAGTATATCTACGCTGTGTAAGCTTGTTGTCCAGTATATTATACTGGATGAGTTCTCTTTAGACTAAAATTTTTTTAGTTGTTATTTATTTTTTGATTGATTAATAGTACTTTTTTTTATTGTCCTGTGAATCTTTGCTTTCCAATATGTTATACTGGATGATTATTATATTATGGTTGAGTTTTGTTTGATTCCTGTATATTTTACAGGAATTCTAACGTGTTTAAGCTTGTTGTCCAGTATATTATACTGGAAAACTAGCATCTGTAGACTGTTTTATCTAGTAAATTATACTGGATATGTATAATTTATTTCATTTCATTATGTTTTTCAGTTCTAATAATCTCTCCATTTCTTTTTTGCTTTTTTTGAAGCAGGGAAAATTGTATACCAGGAAACGAAAGAGGAATTCTGTGGATTCATGCCCTAATTTTAATATTTTGTCTCAGTCAAGTATTTCAAATTATCCTGAACCTACTGTTGATCGCACCCCTGCTGAACAATCTGTTTCTGCTGATATACAAAAAAATGATTCTGATAAAAATATTATTTTATATTCAAGTGTGGATGAGGGAATTTATGTTTCTCCTCTTAAAGTTGCTAAGTTTGTTTCTCAACTAGATGATAAGAAGGTACAAGGTGAAAATGAAAAAGAAAATTTTGCTTCCTGTAAAGGAAAAGAAGTGGCAGGAGCACAAGTACCGCAGATTGCACAAAGTGCGAATGTAGAAGAAGAATTGCTTGGTAGAGGAAAAAGAAATCGTAATGCCAGTTGGCATTTAAAATCTCCATATAAGGGAACATGTAAAGGTCTGAATTGGAATCCAAAATATGTTCGAAGATGTTGCTGGCATTATCGTAAAACAATCAAACGTGCTGAGGATAATTTTGAAGCATATTTAAAGGAGAACAAGAGAAGAGGTCGTCTACCAAAGTGAGTTTTGATATTTAGTTTATTGTATTTTTATTTGATATATATGTTATTAAAATTTCACTTTTTTTTTTGTTTTTCATATTT